CTGCGCTGGCAAGAAGAGTTCTTCGAAGACTCGTATTCATCTTTGGGAAGATGAAGTTTCTGAGAAAATGAGGTTTCTGAGGACATCGAAATTTAGAAGCTACTCGAGACTCGAGAAAGACAGGAGAAGTGAAAATTATTCGAGTTGAGATCCTCAGGGGCTGTAGTTACGTTTGATCGTAGCTACAGTACGGGTTTGGCAATCCCGAGGTACTCCAGCTACAGGGGGCCATCGAGCCCCAGACTACTGGCATTCCTAGTTGGAGTACCAGAGAATGATGAAGAGAAGCATATCAGTAAATGTAAATCCGAAACAATGGCGAGCAGAAATTAAATTAATGTAAAGACTAAATAATTGTTAAACCAGGACGTGAGATGTTACAGTCAAGATATATGGCTTCGTACTCTTAGAAATAAAATTCTCTCGTTCAAGTGGAGACTAATCCATCAGGAAATTTGGCCATAGCAAGAAACAATACAAGAAACCATTCTCAAAGGAACGAATAGTTTAGATCTCGATTCGAGTGACCTCCACTTTTCTTTCTTCCAAGACCAGTACACAAAGTATATTACAATCAAGTTACATGACTTCTCGTATCCTTAGAAATAAAACTCTCTCATTCAAGTAGAGTCTAATCTGTAAGCAAATTTGGCCAAAGCAAGAAACAACACAAGGAACCATTCTCAAAGGAACGAAAAGTTTAGATATCGATTCGAGTGACCTCCACTTTTCTTCCTTGGCCTCCAAAGCCCAAAATATTTATCCCCAGACTCTTCCCTAATTTTCGCCCGCTCCAAAAGTTTCTCCAAGCTCAGTTAACCACGAAAACGATGGCTCGTTCCCTGAGGAACGACACTCGGAAGCGGCTTCGACTTTGCGCTTGTATTAAATTCGACACCGGATGCTTCGCAGCCCGAACCTCATCCTGTTTCTCGGACAAAGGACTACCGTTTCCAGGAAGGCGCTCGAAGCAGTCCGCCGGTATTCCAGGAGGAATCGAAACTATTCGCGAGACTAACATTTTTCAGGGGCATTCGAGGAACAGGAGGAGGACGAGAGACGGTTTTGCATGGCTGGCGGGAATCCACTCGTTTCCTGACGTCTCTCTAATGAACGTCCGGGAGACGTTGCGCAAACGAACATCCTTGAGGATTACTCGGAGTTTTACGTCGGAGTGACACTTTGAATAATAGGCTGGAATGACGGGCAGGAAACCTCGAGTTTGTTACTGGTCTTTGCACACAATTAATCGGAATCGTTTTCGACCCCTGGGTTGAGGCTCTCTCCCTTGTACACGAAGATTATGCAGAATGATACTCGATGGAGAAGTGGTCCGGTGCGACTTTGGCAAAACTACAGAAAAGGAAAATGGAAAATGGGCAGGCGAGAGGAGGAGGGATGGTTGGTTGGTTCTAGAGAAGACAAAATACAAATTTGTCGTCCCTTGACGAAGGTGCATATCTACTCGACATAACAGTGGCGATAAATATCTGTCTTTGTTATTGGGAAAGCAAGCATAATTTATTAAACGCGTGTACGTGTCGATTAATTAGTTCATCGATCGAAAAATTTATCCAAATGCGAGTGCTTCGTCTTTCACGAGAAATACCAACGTCGTTCACACTATCCAGTTATCAAAACAAATTTTTATTGGCATACATTCTTATTAAAATGTATCTCTTCCCTTATTCTTGAATGACATCCAGCTCATGTTTCATCATCCGAGAACGATATCCAGCCACCTAATCGGCATCCATGCTCTTCACAGTGCCGTTTAAATTCGCCAGAGTAGCTTCTGCTGTTTCCGGCGTTCCTCTGTTCGTTTTGGGGCCCGTTCGAACCACTTTGCCGACTGTGTCAGTTCCAGAGACCCGAATCAGACGGGCCAGACGTGGCTAGGGGGGGGGGGGGGGGACGCTTTCGAAAACGCGATTTCCTGCACGATCCACGGCTCATTCCTGGAAAAAGTCCGTCGGGGTGGTCCAGGCTCGTCACGCCACGATTGAAAGCGAACGCGCGCCGCAATTGTAGGATCCTTTCTCGATTTCCAGCTGATAATTAATAGTCGCAGTGAATCGGTAGCATGATCGGTCATTTTTTGTCGTCGTATCTTCCATTTCATCTCGAAACTACCTCTTATTTCTCTCAGGAGATAATTTGGGAGATGTCTCTGTTCGTGACTATCTTCTACGCGATGCTCGGCTCGCGATATTAATATTTAAACGGGATGTGAAATGAAAAATGTTGTTACACCGAGAATAAACGACTGTTCACTATCCTAGCAATTATCACCGCTAGGAAGACTCCAACTCAACCAGTATTCTCTCACATCGAGGCGGAGTTGCACAACTGAAAAGTTTATTAGCGCCGATAAGGACCTGAGAGCTTCCACGTCCGCGAGATTCCCTCGCATCCTGAATGCCAAGGGACTCGCAAAAGTCTCGTTTTCCCGTGAGTTAATGAAAGCTGGGCCTGCTGGGTGTCTGGAATTCCAGCACCGGAGACGTACCGCGTCGCAATCGTTCCCTGCTCGTGGTGTCCTCGATAACACCAAGGGAGAGATAACCCATTCGATAGATCCCCGCCTCGACGACCAGGGGACCGTTCCCCTAGCGAAAATGTCCCCATGGTAACGCAAGGGCTTGTGGAAAATCTGTGGGGAGCGAGGGGGGCGAGTGTTCTTAACGAGCCCGTCAAGACAGTCGTTTCCTCGAGTTTATGGTCGGGACAGGACTGGATCTTTATTCTACGCGTTGAAACTATCTCGCAGAGATAGAAGACGCGAAATAGGAACGTGACTATTTTCATCTAGATAGTTTCGTTTCAATTTAAAGAAAATACGAGCAGAACATTTCTATGTTCGATAGCAGTCGTGAAAATACAGTGCCGAACACGAAAGGGGATGGAGATAGGGTAGAACGCCCTAAGGAGGGGTCGTCGCGTGGCGAGGGTGAAGAATTATTATGGGTGACTTTGGCCTTTTAACTCTTAAGCCAGGAGGTTTGCTGGGGCGAGAGTACGTCATTCCCAGGAACGTGTATTTTGGACAACTAATTGTCACGACATATTTTAATTAGTTGGTTAGTTAATTCATGCTCTACGAATGCGATAAAAATTGTTGAGGGGCTCTAGGTTTAGGAGCTTCCCTTTATGATTTTTTTTTCTCTGGCACTAGTGACGATAGCTTCCTCAAATCGTACGCACATTTTTTTATGGAAATCCTTCTAGAAGACCTGTATAAATTTTCAGAGCTCCTAAATCAGGCTACAGTGACATCCTAATTTAGAAGCCAACTGCTTCTCTTCGCGAATTTGTTTCCAGACACTCCTGAGAATAGCTTCTTCAAACTTTGCCCATTCATTTACAAATACTCGAAAGAACAAACTAATGCTTTCCTCCCCGAAGTTCTGAACCACCACTCTTAACCCTTCGCACTCGAGACCTTTTTTCTAGTATCAATAACCCGAGATGCTTTCTTAGCATTCTATTGCCACGAATGCTAAGCTTAGATTGACTTCGAAGATGTAGGTCGATTGTCGTTTTATCGACACTTGGAATTCCAAAGAAATTAATCTTTTGCACTCGAGAGGTGAGTCTCAGTCACCACTAGATTTCACGTAGCAAATCTACCAGCAATAATGTTTCTTTAGGTTTTATTTCTTTGGAACTAGAAGTGTCAATAAAATGACATCTTTGAAGTCAATCGAAGCTTAGCATTCGTGGCAATACAGAATGTAGAATGCCAAGAAAACATCTCGAGTTGCTGGTAGATACCAAAAAAAAAGGTCTCGAGTGCAAAGGATTAAACCTAAAGAAGCATTATTGCTGGTAGATTTGCTACGTGAAACCTAGCGGTGACTAAGAATCGCCTCTCGTGTGCAAAGGGTTAAGTGTTAAAATACCAATCGGAGCGACACAGTTTTCGTGGTCGCGGGCAAACTCGATCCACCTCTGGGACAGGGCTAACTTTATATTATTCGACAGCATTTCGAGTTGAACTTTGCACTTTGCCAGGGTCAGGTGTGTACGTTAACTCTTGGCGAACCGCGATCGCGTCCCCGTCCTCTCTTGAGGAGCTGCCGGTCGTTTGCACGAGGCCAAGTCCTCCCATCCTGCGTGAGCTCGCCAGTAATCAGCTTACCGATGATCCGTAAACGGATTACGTCGGAAAACACCATGATCGGATTGTACGCCGGCGATTTATCCAGACGTCGCGACGCGTTCCTGCCACGATCGATCACTTCGCCCGCTAACGACGTCGATTTTTCTCGCGAACGATAGCGAATTAACGGAAAGTAAGACGACACCTTGATTTATTCAAAAATTGGATTTATTCGCGGACGATGGATATCAGTTTTTTAAAGCTTGAATTATGAACGTTTCTGTTCGTATTTAGAGCGATTCTCAGCTTGGAATATTCAATGCAAAAAACGTAATAATTTTTGATAAAATTGTGCCAACGCTATTATGTATTATACATCAAAGTATGCTTTGAGATTAATCAACCTCTTGCCGTACTTTGATGAGTCTGATTCGTGACGACGATTTTGGCGCAAACATGAATATCACGAGCCAGGATCGAGTCTCGTTGAGCTAAATGGTACAGGAAGGGGTTAAAGAATCGACGATCTCAAACCTTTCTAATCAATGTCAGAATTTCAAACTATAAATACTTTGAAATTCTGGTAGTGTTACGAAGGTTTCAGTTTCCCACATCGCGAATAAATGGCGAAAGTACGCACGTACCGCGCGTATGGAAAATGTCGTCCTGCGTTCGTCTTCGATTGCCGGAGGTATTTGGAGCAAAGCTCGATCGATTCGATTGTCTCGAGCGTCGTTGCCAGATAGATCTTAATAGGACTGGTTCGCGGAGACTCGGGGCAATCGTCGTCGATCGAGCGTGTTTTTGCTAACGGATCGGCTCAGTGGTCGGCCAGGAAGTTTCATTGTCAGCTGTAACGGTGAATTAGCGGTTAAAAGAATGCGTTGTTTGGTTGCAGATGCTGCGCTCGCCGCGTCGTCTCCGTCCGCATCTGCCCGGCGAGATTGCGCTCCGATTATGGTGAGTAGATTCCCTCCCTTTCTCTTCGCTATCAATTATTTATGACGCAGCGACGCACAGTGTCTTTAAACGGCTCGAAAGCATACGGATCATCGAGAACGATGTTATGAAAGATCGCGACTTCTTCGAACTACTCTCTCATTGTTAAATGGGAGTGTTCAAAAGGATCTGAGTCATTTAACTAGAAGAATATGAAACTTTAGAAATCGTAGCATTAGTATTTTATCTTTAATTATTGTTTCAATTTTGCATTTAATAGTCAATTAAATGTATACCATCGACACTAACAAGGAATGCTTATTAGGTGTCCGCCTTCGATTGTTTTGATTTTTTGGATATGTTTTAAAGAACCGAAAAATGAGATATACGTATTTTTTTATATTGACCCATTTTCATATTTAGTGGGTGAAACGACTTAAAGTTTCAGCTGCAATAGGCTATTATCATAAACAAATTATCTTTTACAAAATTTAAGGCCAGATTTTATATGCAGATAGAAACCCATGAAAGTTTTTCTTAAAAAGTTTTCTTCTATCTATGATACTTTATGAAACTTTAGGGGGTCGTTTCATCCCCTAAATATGAAAACGGGCCAATATAAAAAAATACGTATATCTTATTTTTCTATACTTTAGAACATATCTAAAAATCAAAACAATCGGAGGCGGACACCTAAGAAGCTTTCCTTTAAGTGATTATTAACACGTTGACTGTCAGATTGATTCAAATGGAAATCGCGAAATGTCTACAAGGTTAAAATTTTGTCTCAAGACAGTTGTAAACTAGACAATCTGACATTTGTCGTATCACTCATTTTTGTATTATCATCAAAACTTACGAATTCTATTCAGACTTATTTTCATTAATACTTAGCTCTTAAAATTAATTGCTAAAGTCCCTTAGTGAAAAGCTCTGTTGCCCATATATGGGTGCCGTGGCATTCAACGTGTTAAGGAATTTTTCAAAAGTATTTTCTTTATAAATAGAAAAAAAAGCTTATTTTAAAGTACTGTGCATCTAATCGGCCTATAGATTTATCGCACCTCGGTTGATTTCCCCTGAATCGAAGGCAGGAAAGCGGGAAATTCTATCGAATTTTCGGTTTCCATTTGAACTCGCGATCCACGCTCTGTGGAAACGATTTGAAAGCAGTCGGTTAGCCCGAGCGGTCTGGAGATGTGTTTGATCTCGAGACAAAAGCTCCCTCGCGGACGAAAGCGCTAAAAGCACGGCCCTGTTGGCTAGCGACCCGGAACCACGCTAAAACCAATCATCTCGTAACGTCGTACTATGGGCGCAAATGGTGTTTCCCGTAGAAAAATCGTGCAACGGCGGGAACGAGATGACGTACAAATAAAATTATGTACAATAATAAAAGATGATGTACAAATTCTTACCGAAGATTTTCAGCCGAACACATTCGAAATATGGTCATACTTTCTTTACGCAACGGTACGTTTCGACTTTACAATTTTTAAAATTTCTCTGAAGAAAGTCAGTTTCAAATTTACAGAGTGCCATGAATCATTTTATAAGGATTTATATCGGGATACTTTTTCTCCGAGAAATTTCAGTCGGTTGATGCTCTGTTTCCTGGAATAAATTCATGTACCAGTGCTCACGTGGTCGGCTAACCTCGATATCCAATGTTCGTGAAAGGGGACTTGTTGTACGCGTAAATATATTTCACAATTAAAAGACAAAGATTTTTATCGGGCTGTCTGGAAAGTCCATGCCGATTTTTAGTAGGCGGTACAGGTCTGAATATATCGGAATAGCTGAAAACAAATAAAATGTGTACATTCCTTAACAGGTGGAAAGGTTGTGGAACAAAATGATACATATATAATTCAATAAATATACATCAAAATTCAAATATGCCTTTGAATTTTTCTTAAAAATAGGCATGAACTTTCCGGACAACCCAGTAATATCAGTTTCGTACATAAATTCTACTATTTCCAGTTCTGCTATTCGTCGCTCGTGAATGAACGTCGATTTCAGGCGCCTCGAACTCTACTCATTCTTACTTTGCGTTTTCGCGTTTGTTCCTCCTCCTTTAAGTAATACGTACCGGTGATATCTCGGTCTATACATTATGGAACACCCCCACACCCATTGGAAGAACTCGGCATGCTTTATTATTCTCCACGACGCGTGTGATGATATCGCAATAATTTTCTGCCATCGAGAACTGGGTCACAGCCCACTAGTGCGTTGCAGAGCAAAGATGAGCTTTGCTTTGCTTCTTTATTTGCGCGTACTGGCGTACACGTGCACGCGCGTTGCTCGAAATAAATTGGAGAACGATGGCAACAATAGTGCCTCGATTTCTAGCTGCTTTGGATTGTTTGCAAATGAACTTATCAACGATGCGTTTGATAGGTTCATTCGAAGATTAGAGAAGGTTCGCTTTCAACACTTTCTTATACAGTAATATTTCTTAGTTTAATTGCATCGCATATATTAGGCTCTAAATATGTCAGTTAGACATCTGTAATTCCACTCTAAATTCAATTGATTCCTTTTTATCAACTTTTCCGACTTACATCTTAGCCTTTATTGATTACTTCCGCACTCTACACACCGCGTACAATCGTAAATACTACCAAAAAACTTGTCCAAAGTGGCCCCAATTATGTTCGAGCAAAGCGTCGTTAACCGCGCGAATTCCAAGGAAAAAAACTTCCAAATCGTCGTCATTGTCTTCTTGCCTGAGAGACTATCCGCGAAGGACGCGAGATAATAGCAGTCCGTGGCAGTAATACATGCAGCGGCATAGGTTAGGGTCAAGGCGATCCAACCACGTCGTCAAAGGTCGCTCGGCCTCGATGGTCGTTCACGGTGCGAACCTCTCGCCCACGGAGCGGACGGCGTTGATAACGGGCCTCGTAATTCGGTAATCCGCGTACGGATCGATCAATCGTACCTGGTTCGACGCGGAACTACTGCGTAGGGGTGGAACTAACGCGCGTATATGGACGAGCAATTGTTCGCGAATTGAAGAAAGATTAGTCGGGGAGATAGGACAGATGCACCTGTCTGGTCGGCGTCGTAGGCTTCTTCCTGGATCTATTTTCTGTCGTAGACCCCAGGGACTCGTTCGAAACTGGAGCGGGGAGGATGATCTACTAGTTTTTTTGTTGCATTTGTTTCATTTGGAACATGGCGAGGTAGGATTATTTTCTGGGTGTAGTTATTCGATGTCTGTGTTTTGATTCGTGGTATACTTCTGGTATAAGGAAACGGAGCTCAGTGGTTATATCAAAAAGATTCACTATTCTGATGAATTTTCTACGTTTTTATTTTTCTAGTTGCATGCGACCGTGGATCTAGGTGAAATAAAGATAATGGAGTAGGTAAAACAGAGAGCGCAAACAGTTTGCAACACTAATTTCAAATCGGTTGCGCTCATGTGCGATCGACCTAAAGGACGATTCAGACTATACGACACGGACCGGGAACGACATGTACCGGCACCGACACGACAAAACATAAAAACACGCGTTTCAATGGAACTATTCACACTATTCCCATTGACGGAACGTTCAGGTCGGTGTCTGTTAAGTGTGAATAGTTCCATTAAAACGCGTGTTTTAATGTTTTGTCGTGTCGGTGCCGGTCCGTACCGTATAGTCTGAATCGACCTTAAGCCTAATCTTTCAATCTATCTCGCCACCTATTAACAAAAAATCTCAAGATTTGTCGTCGATTCCCAACGCACCCTGGCGTCCACTCGAAGTGAACAGAGTGAATGCTGATAAGAGCATCTGTACCCCAAGCGATCGTAATCGAAATAGTTGCATCGGTCCCGCGCGTCGTTTTGTTCGTCTCGAGGTTGTCCAAGGCGCCCTATTTACCGTTACCGCTCGTCGAGATGGCGTGGAATAGAGAGTCGAGCATCTAATCTCCCGGGCACCGTCGTCTAATTAAAACCACGGGGCAAAAATCGCCATTTGCCTGGAACGGTAGTACGCGTAGTATTTGCATGGCTGGTAGTACGCGCGTAGTAACATACCTGCTCCACGCACGGTACAGTTAGAAGCTTAACCGTCAGGCCTCGTTGCATCCTACGAAATAATATCTATCGTCCAGGTGCGCGTTACGGCGAACTTTACTCTCCGGGAAACGGTAATTACGAGTAATTGGAGAATTTTAATGTTGCTATGTTGGAGATCGTTCTGTCTTTTTTTTTTTTTTACGAGAAAATAGGAACGCGTAGGATAGCTGGTAGAAGTAACTTGAAAGGAACTTTTTTGTATGTGTCAGGTTAATTAAGGAGTCATGTCATTAAGAAATTTTGGTGATTTTGAAATCTTTCGATCTATATTTTCTTACGGTACAAATGTTGATAGCATCGTTATCGTATATTTTAGAAATTTCACTTGCAGTGGTTGCAGAGGTGCAGACTTCCTTTGCTCACTCAATTTCAAATATAGCGCACGGTGGATCTTCGGTGGTTTATAGGACGATTTATTCGGAATATTTACATTTGATATTTCCTACTTAAAAACTGTAATAATTAACCTCGTTTCATCCACCCCCGAAGACGGCATTGTCAGGTCATCGATCGGAACGATAAGCGTGCGAACGCGTTGGTTGCGCCGGTGACACATTTTTCCAGGAAATATATCGGCTCCCGCGGCGATTGAATCGGACTCGGGAAGGCCACTCGATTTAATTAAACGAGCCGGAGGCTAGAGGTCGAGGGAGCGTAAAGTCGAAAACGGAGGATCGAGTGAAAAGCGGCTGCTGGCCCGCGTAGAGAGGGGTGGATAGGGAATTCGAAGCGGAATCGATTCCTTTTCTGCGGAGACGTTCGTTGCGCAATATCTGTTATCGGATACGAATACACGCGAGCTTGGAATGCGAGCCAACAAACGACGGAATCGCGTGCGGATCTAACGACGCGTCCTCGGTTCGGGAAAGGAGAAATTTTTCACGTTCGAAGACCTCGTATTAAATTCATTTTATTGTCGACTACAAAAGAAACGAAGAAT